GTCCTTTAAAAAGCAAAGGGGATGGCTGAGCCTTGGCAGCACTGAGGAACGAATTCCCATTTTGGAATCTCGGTGTCTACCTGGAGTTGGAGAACCCGGTTGGCCTGAGTCAGTTCCCTAGAACCTAACGAATGGACCACAGTTGGCTGTCTCCGACTCCATTCTCCTTAAAAAAAAAAAAAAAAAGGACTTTGGGGGCGTTGCAGGGTTAGCGTCAAATGTGTCTCCTGAAAATGCTTTTAAAAGATGGTCGGGCTGGGCACGGTGGCTCACGCCTGTAATCCTAGCACTCTGGAGGCCGAGGTAGGCGGATTGCTCGATGTCAGGAGTTCGAAACCAGCCTGAGCAAAAGTGAGACCCCGCTCTCTACTATAAATAAGAAGAAATATTGGCCACTAATACATATATAGAAAAAATTAGCCGGGCATGGTGGCGCATGCCTGTAGTCCCCAGCTACTCGGGAGGCTGAGGCAGGAGGATCGCTTGACCCAGGTTTTGAGGTTGCTGTGAGCTAGGCTTACGCCACGGCACTCACTCTAGCCTGGGCAACAGAGTGACTCTGTCTCAAAAAAAAAAAAATTAAAAAAAAGATGGTCAGACAGCTTTGGGTTAAGTCATTTCAGACCCAGGTTTTTGCATGGGCCTGAATTACAGTCCTGTGTATTTCTCATTGATCTGTGGACTTTGGGTTTGGATTAGAGTTTGTTTAAAATAAAAAGTTAAGGACTGATTACTGCTCTCTAGTAATGTTTTATTTATCAGTTTTGCAATACCTTTAATAGCACTATTTTATCAGTAAGCTCATGACCTAACAGTAGCTACAGAGGGATATTTATGCATCAGACTTAAAATACAGTTTATGTAATTTTCAACTTAAAAAGATTGAAATTGGAAATACATTTTTGTGACAACTTGAATTTTCTTTTTTAAACCCATACATCTTTTCACAGTCTAGCTGAACTAATCGAAAAAATTTTTTGTGTGAATGAATTGACAAAACTCTTAATTCATCTTGTCATCTTAGGTTGGAGCATTCCCTCTAATGTGGAAAGCCATATTAAACTCTGCTAAGGGAAAGAATTTTCTCATTGTTTAGCCTCTTTAATTTCTTCTAAATAATGTCATCTTTTTAGGACAACGCTTTATATAAGTGAGTACCATATATAAAGAGACTAACAACATCTGGTTCTGTAAGCTCTTGCTCAGGCTGGTTTCGAACTCCTGACCTCGAGCAATCCGCCCACCTCGGCCTCCCAGAGTGCTAGGATTACAGGCGTGAGCCACCTCGCCCCTGGCCCGGGGTGATGGTTTTTAAGAAGGCTAAATGTTTTGGAGACAAGCCCTGGTTATAGTGCCCAGTGCTCACCTCTCCCTTCCAGACTCCCATTCTGGGCTAGATCCATACCTACTGGGGAACTGTTCCTGCGTTAGATTCCCAAGTGATACGGTGCTGGAGATACTGTCACCACATGCACAAGCGTGGCCTGTCTTCTTACTCTGGGCAGGAGGGCTAAGCCCCACAGATATAACAAGGCTCCTTTACCCCTTTATCACTCTTCTTAAAAGTCTAGAACTAGGCCGAAGCAGGCAGCTCCCAGCTTCCTTCAGAGAACAGAAAAGAGCAAAGGAGAGAAGCAGCACTAGACTCTTTTCCATTCACAAAGTCCTGGAGCCAGGGTGGATGCAGCTGAGAGGGAACCTCTTGGACTTTGGAATGAGAGCCAGGTTCAATCCTGTTAGGCCATGTCTCAGTATTTTGACCTTGGGTAGGTTTTCTTAAGAGTTAAAGTGTCTTTATTTACAAAAAGGGGGGATAACAGCATAGACTTGGATGTAAAAAATACCTAGTACAGTGCGTGGCATCTAGGAGGCGTGCAACAGACGACGCCTTCTGTTGTCATCACTTTGGCATCACACTGCCTCTGCTCGGAGTTGGTTATTATTCTGTAATTTTTCCTACGGTGTCACTGTGTCAGGTGGGGGCGTTTCTGCCTGGAGGATGTGTGTGTGTGTGTGTATTGGGGGGGCTGGCACACAGGTAAATCACTGCAAGGCTTTAGCAACTTTCTTTCCCCTCCAGCCTTGTTGACCAAAGTCACATTCCTGAATAAGTGCAAATGGGTGCATTCCTAAGAATACATGAGAATGTCACAGAAGGGGGGTGGGGATGGTGGTGACAGAGGGACAGAAAAATCCCCGCAGACCGGTGGCTATACCACCCTTTGGTAAGGGCGTGTGGCTACCTGGACCCCTAGTCATGTCTTCCCCCAGTTCCAGCTGCCCTTCCTCGTTAACACTGCCCAGTGACCTGCCTGGATGGGGAATGCGAGGCCAGCCACGTGGTCACCTAAGTGCCATTTGGTCTCTCTCTCTCCTCTTAAGGCCTTCAAACCATAATGTGAATATAAATATTGTAAATTTTATGATTAAATAAAAATTGCTGGCCAGGCATGGTGGCTCACGCCTATAATCCTAGCTCTTTGGGAGGCCGAGGTGGGTGGATTGCTCGAGGTCAGGAGTTCGAAACCAACCTGAGCAAGAGCAAGACCCCATCTCTACTATAAATAGAAAGAAATTAATTGGCCAACTAATATATATAGAAAAAATTAGCCGTGCATGGTGGCGCATGCCTGTAGTCCCAGCTACTCAGGAGGCTGAGGCAGCAGGATAGCTTGAGCCTAGGAGTTGGAGGTTGCTGTGAGCTAGGCTGATGCCACGGCACTCACTGTAGCTTGGGCAACAAAGCGAAACTCTGTCTCAAAAAAAAAATTAAAATATTAAAAATTACTTAACGTGCCTGAGTGCACATGCCATACACATATGGTTCAACGATTGGGTGCTTCCACTGGATGCCCCAAATTACACAGCAGCAATCAGAACAGACAATAGCAGACCCCCCTCTCCCAGTATTCAGCCATCTGACCCACACGCTAGAGCCCAGAAAATCTGAATGTACACGTTCACTGACTCTCAGGTATGCCCCGATCAAGCCTTCCTGGGAAGCAAGAAGGTCAACACAGCCTTAATAAACAGCATTATTTTGTCTTGTAGCTTTCTACCCACTCTCTCTGGGGCTGCAATTCTCTAGAACTCCCCTTTTACGTTTCCTCTCTCATCTGGTCAGCGCCATCCCTTTGCAGCCATTTATTTTCTAGGGACACCTGCCCCTTATCCTAACAAATGGCACTAAGACAGTTCAGAGTCTGGAGCTTTCTTTATACGGACCAATAAACGTGTAAACATTACTGTGAGATAAAGGGACAGCACAGGTTAAAAAAACGACTAGATGTAGAGAATCACACAAAATGTTTATAAAGCCTTTGACAAGATGTCCACACATCGCTGATGCTAGGTAAATACCAATGCCCTTACTCCTGTTTCTTTTAGAACCTGGATCTGTCATTAATTAGCACTGAGACCTGGGCAAATCAAGGCATTTCGTGTCTCTGGGCCTCAGTTCCCTCATCTATGAAATTAAGAGGGTTGTACCAGTTTTTATTTTTATTTTTTACTGTTCAAAAAATATTTCCCCCCTGGAGCTTCTCCTCAGGACTCCTTCATAGACTGGAAAAAAGGGTTAGGAAGGTTGTTTCTGCCACCTTGTATTTTACCCCCTAACAAAGGCAAGAAGCAGCGATCTTTCCAGTGGGGACGGTTGGCACTGGGGACACTGAGTGGGGACAGGAACCAACAAATGTCGGACGTCTCCCCTGCGCCAGGCACTTTCACTCGAGGGCTGTCCGGAAAGTACCCAACCATGTACTAATAATATGAAAAAGTGATATTAATAATGGCTGGATACTTTCCGGACAGCCCTAATGTACCTCGATCTTAGTCCACCGGCCTCAGTTCAAATCCTGCTCCCAACGCGACAAAACCCCGAGATCCTTTTAAAAGCAAAACAAGGAGAGTTGATGCGTTAAAACTTACTCTCTCCACCTCACGTTCACCTCCAAGGATCTCAAAACACACTGCAGCTACTTCCACATTAAAATAGCCCTGGGTCCCCCCCCCCCAAGATTTATTTCAGGGCTTAAAACAAGGTCACCTCAAAATAGAAGAAAACTCCCAAGTTAAGGCACGGCTTCTTCTAAAGGCTTAAAAATAAAAATAAAAATAGAAAAGCCGGCCCGGTCCGAGAGGCGGCGCAGCCTCAGCGCACCGGGCCGCGTCGGTGTCCCAGCCGCTCCACCCCCGCGGCCCGGCGCTAGGCCCCGTCCTCGGCCGCCCGGGAGGCGGAGGAGGCGGAGACCGGGAGGGGAGGGCAGCGAGTCGGCGGGCTCCCGGCGGCGAGCCCCGCGACCCCCGCCCGCGACAGGCGCGGCCCCCGGGAGCGACCCCACAGTCGCGCGGGGCGCGCGCCGGACTCCTCTCGCCGCCGATCTGCTTCCAGGGCAGAGGGAAGGGCGGCGACGGGGCGGGGCGGGGCGGGGTTGCGGCGAGGGCGGCGCCGACGGCGGGGGCGGGCGTGCGAGCATCCTCCGGCCGCGCCGCGCCTCGCCGGGCCCCGGGCCGCGCCCACGCCCGCCGCCGCCTCCCCCTCCGCCGGCCGCCGGCGCCCACACGCGTGTCCCCGGCTTGAACCGGAACCGCTTACGGAGAGCGCCGCCGCCGCCGGGGACCGGGCGCCGAGCGACCGGGAAGCGCGGGGAGGCGGCCTGCGCGGCGCCGCCGCCGCCATGGCCGCGGCGCTGAGGTAGGCGCGGCGCGCCGCAGTCGCGCCGACCCGAGCGCTCGTCCGCCGCGGACAGCCCCGCTGGGCCGGGCGGTCGCGCGCGGAGCCGAGGGCGGGCGGGCCGCCCGCCCGTCGCCGCCGCCCGCCGCCCATGGCGAGGCCCGCCGCCGCGCCGCTGCTGACCCGGCGGCCGGCCGCGGCTTCCGCCCATCCCGCGGCGGCGGCGGGCGGGCCTCCCTCCACGCCCCGCCGCCGCCCGCGCCGCCCGCGGCCCGCGCCGGGCACCGGGAGGAACGAGAGCAGCCGGAGTCGGGGGCCGCCGAAGATGGGGAACACTACCTCGTGCTGCGTGTCGTCCAGCCCAAGCTCCGGAGGAATGCCCACTCCCGGCTGGAGTCCTACCGGCCGACACGGACCTGAGCCGCGAGGACACGGCTGCAACCTGCAGCACATCAGCGACCGGGAGAACATCGACGGTGAGCGCGGGCGGGGCCCTCCCGCACCCCAACCCCGCACCCCAGTCCCGCCCGCGACCCCGGGCTCCGGCTGAACGCGGCGCGGCCCGGCTGCTCCTGCCTTCTCAGCCGGTCTCCGTAACCGGCGCATAACGGGTCTCCGCCCGCGTAACCCCGGCGCCCCGCAGCCTCCAAGCGGCCCCCTCGCTGGTACCCCGGAGTGAGCGGCCGCGGAAACTTTGCGGACTGGGGCTCGGGAGCCCGCAGGGCGGGGGCAGGGGCTCGTGGGTCTCGGGTGACAGGAGCCGGCTGGTGGGTGGGCGGGCGCGGCCGGGGAGCCCGGGGTTCCCAGGCACTGCCTGCGCGCAGCCAGCAGCCAAGTTATGCACGAGAAGGGTGAGAGCGTTTGTCCTTTAAAAAGCAAAGGGGATGGCTGAGCCTTGGCAGCACTGAGGAACGAATTCCCATTTTGGAATCTCGGTGTCTACCTGGAGTTGGAGAACCCGGTTGGCCTGAGTCAGTTCCCTAGAACCTAACGAATGGACCACAGTTGGCTGTCTCCGACTCCATTCTCCTTAAAAAAAAAAAAAAAAAAGGACTTTGGGGTGGCGGTTGCAGGGTTAGCGTCAAATAGTGTCTCCTGAAAATGCTTTTAAAAGATGGTCGGGCTGGGCACGGTGGCTCACGCCTGTAATCCTAGCACTCTGGAGGCCGAGGTAGGCGGATTGCTCGATGTCAGGAGTTCGAAACCAGCCTGAGCAAAAGTGAGACCCCGTCTCTACTATAAATAAGAAGAATTAATTGGCCAACTAATACATATATAGAAAAAATTAGCCGGGCATGGTGGCGCATGCCTGTAGTCCCAGCTACTCAGGAGGCTGAGGCAGGAGGATCGCTTGAGCCCAGGAGTTTGAGGTTGCTGTGAGCTAGGCTGACGCCACGGCACTCACTCTAGCCTGGGCAACAGAGTGAGACTCTGTCTCAAAAAAAAAAAATTAAAAAAAAGATGGTCAGACCAGCTTTGGGTTAAGTCATTTCAGACCCAGGTTTTTGCATGGGCCTGAATACAGTCCTGTGTATTTCTCATTGATCTGTGGTGACTTTGGGTTTGGATTAGAGTTTGTTTAAAATAAAAAGTTAAAGGACTGATTACTGCATCTAGTAATGTTTTATTTACCAGTTTTGCAATACCTTTAATACCACTATTTTATCAGTAAGCTTATGACCTAACAGTAGCTACAGAGGGATATTTATGCATCAGACTTAAAATACAGTTTATGTAATTTTCAACTTAAAAAGATTTGAAATTGGAAATACATTTTTGTGATAACTTGAATTTTCTTTTTTTAACCCATACATCTTTTCACAGTCTAGCTGAACTAATCTGAAAAAATTTTTTGTGTGAATGAATTGACAAAACTCTTAATTCATTCTTGTCATCTTTAGGTTGGAGCATTCCCTCTAATGTGGAAAGCCATATTTAAACTCTGCTAAGGGAAAGAATTTTCTCATTGTCTTCCTTTTAATTTCTTCTAAATAATGTCATCTTTTTAGGACAACGGCTTTATTAAGTGAGTACCATATATAAAGAGACTAACAACATCTGGTTTCTGTAATAGGTGCTTAGTAAATTATGGTTCCATATGACGTTTCTAGCGCTGTTATTTTAGACTTCCTTTATCTTAACCTACACTTGATGTCTTTGAACTACAGCCATACTTTATTTTTAAATTTATGCATATAAATGCATCTAGAAGGATATGAAAGCCAGATCTGTCTTGATCACTGCTATAGGTCCAAGCATCTGAAAGAAATGTCTGCCATATAATATTCAATAAGCATTGTATTTTAAAGGGATGAATAAATAAATGAATTTAGTATGGAAAGTCACTGCCCAGTATTGTACAATGTTGATAGGCAAAACATTTGGAAGTAATTTCCTTTTTATGCTGTGCACTGATATCTGGTGGAGGCTGTATATGTTTTACATGTTGGATCAAAAAAAAAAAAGGAAAAATAAAAACAAAAAGATTCACATTTCTTAGAACCAGGGTACATACTATTATTATAGACTGTAGTAAGGAAACAGAGGTGTCAAGGATAGTAATTGTAACCAGCTTTTTGTCGCTAAGGCGTAGAAGGATTTTGTCAGAATATAGTAGTTTTTGTTCCTTTGCTTGAAAGAAATATAAGTTTCAGTAATGAAGTATTTTTGAGAGAACATTTGGAAGACTACCACCTCTTGTTTTGCAGATTCAGGGGAGTTTGAGAGAGTATAGGGCAGGTTAAGGGGATTTCTAGTCTAGCCTGTAGTGTCCTTTCACTCCAGAACCAGAACCAGTTCAGATGATGATGCCAGTTTAAACCCAGAAATACTAAGTCACCATTTGAACAATGTTCTTTCTGTCTCCCAAATTCAATAAATAATACTTCTAGGATTTATCTAACCAGTGGTTCTCAACGTTGGTTTCAGTGGGAACAGAAATCTAGGGCCGGTGTTGGTGTTAATGTGTATATTTAAAGCTCTCCAGGGCGATTCTAAGATGCAGCTAGGTGTGGGAATCGCTGCTGGGTAAATCCTGATGTTCAGGGATGTTTTTGGTAGAAATTGATCCAGTATCAGAGACTGGGAGAAGAGAACAGATTTGTTTAAGTTAAATAGTGTGTATAAGTCTGTCCAGAAAGTATCTAGCCATGCAATATGAAAAATGTGTTAACAGTGGCTTGATACTTTTGGACAGACCTTGTATATATCTATATCTATATATGTTTGAACTTCTGAGTTATATTGATTGTCAGATTATTAGCAAACGTTTTAAGACTACAGCTTAAGAATTCTTGATTCTGGTATATATCAAAAGCTGAAGTGCTCAGGTATCATGTTTCTTATAGCTTGAAAAATGTCCCAGGCAGCAAGTATTGAAAGGTTGAGAGAAGTTTCTGGGTCTTCTGTGATGAGTGAGCTGCTTTAAATTACAGAGATATGATGTATGTATCCATGTTTTCCCCAGCCTACTCCCAAACACACAAAGGGATAATATTTTTCCTGTACAATTTCAGTGACAATTTTGCTGTCTGTGTATTTAGACTTCTATGATAGATACCTATTGATAACTTAATGTGTCTTTGTACTCACTGTATCTTAGTATATCCTCAGTATATAACCCAATCTTAGTATTAGGTTATTCTTATTTTTGAAATTTGTATGAGATTCATCTGCTCCCTAGGTATTATTTCTCATCAAAATCATGCAGAGATTGAGAAAAAACAACAACATGTAACAATAACAACGACAACAATTGCAGCCCATGTATGTTGCTTACTCTGATCCAGATTGGCTTGAAGTGCTTGGCTTCTATTCATTCATTTAGAACACACAATAGCCCTGTGGGTGATACTGTCCTTACTTTCAGACAAAGAAATGCAGCATTGAGAAGAGAAATGACTTGCCCAAAGTCCACAGCGCCAATAAATGGCAAATGGAAACTTTTCATCAATGCTCAACTGGCCGTCATACATTAACTAGTCTGGGTTGCCTTCTGGGCCAGCGTGTCCGTTGTCATTGCAGTCATATCGATAGTTTCTCAGAGAAGCAGCTTCATCTGTCGGTAACAGTTATTCAGTCTAGACTTCCATGATTAGATTATTTCTGTGGGAGGAGAAAGGGAGGGATGGACTAAAGAGAATTTAAAATGTGATGAGAACTAATAAATCAGGATACTTGTAACAGCTGTACCATTGTGTCAGTTTGGGGTTTTGCTTCAAAATGATTGATGGTAACTTATCTTTACAGCTTACCTGTCATCCTTGACAGCTTGGTTTCTCTGGCATTCTATATCTTATCTGTTAGGAAAGCTTGGCGCTCTGTCTTCAGAATATATCCAGAATCTGACCACTCTCAAAACCTCTCCTGCTGCTCTTCTGAAGATCTAAGCAGCTGTCATCTCTGCCAGCCCACCTGGTCTCCCTGCTTTCACCCTTGCCCGCTCCAGCCTGTTGTCAACACAGCAGCCCTGGCGGAGATCCTTTTAAAAACTTTAACACATCATTCGTCCGCTCAAAAACTGCAGCGACTCCTAATTGCACATTGAATAAAAGGCATTTCTTCTCAGTGGACTCCAGGGCCTCGGGTGATCTGCCTGCCCTCCTCAACTCACAGACTCGCTTGCTCATACCTGCCACGCTGGCCTCCTTTCCTGTTCTTCCTGGAACACGCCAGACACGGTCCCACCCCGGGGTCTTTGCTCTCTGTCCCTCTGCCTGAAATGTTCTCGGTGTATCTTCTTGGCTAACTTGCTCTGCCTCTGGTCTTAGTTCAGGTCTCACTTTTTCAGGGGGGCCTTCCCAATCACCTCATCTACCATCCCTCCTGCTACCCACAAGCAGTCCTAGCATACAGTCTCTGTGCTGCTGTTTCTTTATTCCATATGACCTTATGATGCGCTGGATAAGTATATACACATGTAGTAATAACTCCTTCCACCTACTAGCATGTAAATTGCAATAGGACACTTTTGTTTGTTCACTGAAGTAACCCAAGTGCCTAGAACAGTGCCTGATTCCGTGAAGACGCTCTCTAAATATTTGTTGAATTAATGTGTTGAGTGAAGCCAGCCATTTAAGGACATCTAAGTGAGAACATCGTCCTGTGTATTTACTGGGTGAGGGGAAGCAGGAGGGAAGGAGAGAGCGACGAGGATTTGTCATAATGAAAGAAGATTGGCCATGAAACTTTGTGGCTTTGTTTGTATTTTAACCTGAGAAGGAGCAGATAGGGTGAAGTCCTGAAAAATGAAACTTAAGAATGGTTTTAAAGCATAACAACAACAACAACAACAAAAACCTCACTCAAACTGAAAGGAAGCCATGGCTAATGGAAATTGGTTTAACATTGTATTATGTTTAGTCTTTTTTCCTTGTCTCTTTCAGTAGATGACTTTAGCTGTAGCCTTACCTCCTTAAGAATCAAAATGAGGCTCAAACGCTTAATTAACCAAGAAGTAGTAGATGAACATATGCAA